ATGCCGGACACGGAGGACTGGCAGCAACAACCCGACCGTCACCGCCCCCCGGAGGTGCTCCCACGGATGCCGGACACGGAGGACTGGCAGCAACAACCCGACCGCCACCGCCCCCCGGCGGAGGTGCTCCCCCGGATGCCGGACACGGACGACGCGAATCGGGTGGTCGCGCCTCCGGAACCCGAGATGCCGACGCTGGTCCAACCGGCCACGTCCGACAACGTCTACCAAGCGCCTTACTACGAACAGGCCGTCACCGTTCATTCCAGCGGCCCCGTGATCGCCGCGGAGGGCCAGACCACCACGGACAAACCGCTGCCGGAGTGTCCCATGCCGAACTCGTCGGCGACCGGCCGACGGTCCTTGGAAGTGGTGGTTCTGTCGGTGCTCGTGGTCCTCGCCGGCCGCGCCTTTGTGGAGGGATTTTAGCGAAAAGTCGTAGCCAACGTCCATAGTTATCTCCGTCGAACCGAATCGCTAGCGCGAACCCCGTGCACGGGCATTTACGTCGTAGCCTACCGTTCTCTAATGTTATTCATGGGACGCTCAGGATGACGTCCATTAAACGATTGATCGTTAGCACCGGACTGGGTAATTGGTGTGCAGCTGGATTCGCCGTTTTCTCTTCGGAACGGAACCGGTCCGCGCTCGTTGGATCGGTTCTAATGGATACCGCCGAGCCTGCAGTGCCGATAGCGTACGTATTTTCGCTTTGGCTTTTATCCGGGGGATGGGCGCCTTCGCGTCGCACGGTTCCGATCGGTTCTGGTTTAATTCGAGATCGGCTTCGCCACTTCGTTCCGGACGTCTTTCGATTTCTACGCGCGTTTTTTTAGCGATTACGAATTTTAGCGATTAGGGAAACGAAATTTAGCGATTACGGAAACGAGATCGAATAGATATCGTACGACGACGATCGGTCCACGGATCCGTCGTTATAAAATATGAATAACACCGAGGGTTTAATTAATACGAATAACACCGAGGGTTTAATTATACCGTTGCCTTGGAATTGTTTGTACGCGGCGATCAGTTCCTTCCGTTCGGAGTCTTCTCGGCTCGCCTTCGCGGCTTCGAGGATAACGTCCGTTTCATTGCCTTTCAATTGGAGCAAGTTGCCAACGGTCAACCTGGCCTTATAAATTAATTAACACCGCGCCGCGCGATTTGTTTCACGGTTAGGACGATTAGACCCACTTTGCTAACGATTCCTAGAGAACAGAGTACATCGACGGTGTACCTGCGTTTGCTCTCCGATGTCCGAACGTTGATTTAAGAACATCGAATTCTATTTCCTTATCAATTAACGGTACCCATAGGCGACTTCTTATTCGCAACCCGATCAATTCGGCGGATATTACGATACATCGCGAATCGTGCGAGAGGCCGATTTTTTGCCGTCGATCGAAACGTTAGGGTAGACAAACGACGGTCGATTCGCCGTTGATTGATCCGGTATCGGAGACGCGACGTCTCTCGGATCGTAAATTGCGTCGTCTACGTTCGCAATTTCGTATCGCCTCGCGTTTTATGGCGATCGTAGTATTCTCTTCATTCACAAAGCGGCCGGTGCAACCCTCGCTGCCCATAACTCGATAATCTATTCATAAATTCCGGTCGGCGCGGCTCGCCCAACCGAGCCGAGCGCGACGCCGAGACGCAGCTACCAAGTTGTGCAATATTGTTTGCGATGCGGGGAATACCAAATACGATTTCTGCGGCAACGCGATGCTGAATATCAATTGAAAGTAACGAGCAACGAGGGCCGCGACGTATCCGGTGCGGTAATGAAATAATTACTAATGTCGTCGGTCCAATCTAATGCCGGGTGTTATGTAACGACCTTGACCGAACGCATCTGGTCAAGATACCCCGGTTTCTGCGGCGTTCCGTTTTTCCCGCCGATAGGAATCGCTTCGTTCTCGTTTCCCCGATCGCTGTCCCAGCTGGAAGATGCGTTACGAGGTCGCGACGAGGGCAGAGGCGAAGGTGAAAGCGTACTCGCGCGTAACGGGTCAAACGCGGCGAGACGAATCCTCTCGGAGGTTTCGCTTCGCGTACCGAAATCTGGGCGCAAATTTATTCGAGCGTCACCTCGCGCCTCGACCGCGAATTTTACGCGTTCATCGGGTCGATTCGTTCGCGAACAGCTTCCGTTTCTTACAGATTTCGATACATTTCATAGAATCGGAAACCTTCGAGTTTTCGCTCGATCGGAGGTAGCCGAACTTTCTTCCTCTTCGGTGTTCTCCTCGTCTCGATACCGGAAGATCCTCTTCCGCGCGCCAGCTTTTGCGAGCATTATCCAGCTCGATCCTCTCCCCGGATTGCGAATGTAGCGAAAGTATAAATTGACAGTTATAGAAGAACTCCTGTTAATCCAATCAGTGGACCAATCGGAGCGGCAATAATTGGTTTACGAGCCCATTGCAGAATAGCGTTTGGATTAACCAATTACGGTTCGAGCCGAGCGATTTTCATTGGCTCGCGGTCCTTTAATATATGTATAATTACGCTTGCAACGATCTCGTTCCTTTTCCACGATAACACCTATCGGTCCCTCGATTCTAAATGTCTTCGCCCTCTTTGTTTTACTTTTCCGGTCACCGTTTTGCATTGATAATTCGCAAACGAAGCGCGGATCGCATTCTCGCCGAGGAAAAAGCTACTTCGAACGACCTCATTCGAAGTAACCCCCTCATTTCTCGCTTGTGCAGTAATTTTGGGACAGCCTGTAGATTCGTATGTCCTGTCACCCGGATCAAAAGAACCCCGCGGGGGCTGATTCCGCGAAGATCGCCGTCGGAAAAAGGAAAACGCGCGCGAAACTGGTTTCGCGAGGACCGCTTCGGCGGTTAAAGTTAGACCGTCCGAACAACGTTAGGCGCAAGAGCTATCGCGGTCCACTGTTCGGATAACAAGGGCTGCCGAAACGTTTCCGGGTGTCTGCTAGCAAGTGCCATTACTGTGCCGCGCGTTGAGCGACGACAAAGCGGCCGGTGTTCGATGTCAAGTTCGCGCGAGACCAGGCTTTCTCGCGTTCTCGTTGCAACAGGTGTAGGCTGCCGAACGGATCCGTCGATGCCAACTCTAAATAACAGGCTTCCGCGCGTCCTTGCTCGCCGGGACCAAGATCTCCGAGCGCCGATCCATTCAAGGGGTCCGTTGTTCCTCCGCGTCGGAAAGCGTATCTCCGATCTCTCGGAAAGCGTATCTATCGCGGCGCGGCACGTGCATCCTTAACCCGCGGAATGGAGTTAGGGTCGCGGGGGGATCTCAATTCCCGCGAAATTCCTCGGCGATGACTCGGCCCGCGAGGCGCGGGGCGGAGGGCGCGCGTTGCGCAACCGGCGCGGCCGACTATTTTCAATTATTTCGTGATTCGAACGATTTCCGGAGCGTGTCAGGCGAGCCGCCAGATGTGTCGTTCGCTCTAGACACCGGGGACCGGGACCGGGAGCGGGAACCTAAGCGATTCAAGGTCGCGGAAGCGCATCGCTCTGTCGTCGCGGGGCTGCGGGACGCGAGGGCTGCCCGTTCCGTTTTCTCTGTGCCGCGTCGTTTCACCGTTTGATATTTTGGCACGGATCTCGCTCGCAAATAGATCGCCGGGTATCATCGATCGATTACCGATCCGCGAATATCGAATCCGATAAAGCGGTCGCTGCGTCTCGCGCGATCGATGGAGCGTCGATTTTGGGTGCTCGAGGATCGAGCCGCGGGGAACGTAGAAGTCGCTGATGAAGAGTTCAAAGATGCTCTGCTAAGAGTTCAAGTATTCGACGCTGTCCCTTTCCGTCGCGTCGATGTACTGTACTGTCTCCCTAATCGACGCTCGGATTGTCCACAAAAATCGACGATTTGGGAAGAGGGCATACGATTGTTCGAGCCTTGCAGCTCGTTTTTATAGTTGTTGAAAATCGGTAACTATAAAAACGAGTCGCAAGGCTCGAATTCGCAAGGCTCCTCTTCCCAAATTGTCCATTTTTGTGGACGATCCGAGCGTCAATTGAGGAAACGTTACTGTACGTTTCTAATTTTTTCCGATCGATACGTTGGCATCGAAGAAACCGCGGACTCGGCACAAATAGAAATATTGTTCGTCTTTTTAAACGTTTTTTTTTTGCGGTCGAGGGGTAAACGTGGAGAACGGACCGAATTTTGTAAATTCCACCCCTAGAGCGTTTTCTGGGAGGCGTCTTCGATCGCGACTTTAAGATTGTTGATCGTGACCGTGACAGATGTGGCCACGGTTTTCGTCGGAGCCTGTCGCAGCGGATGTTACGTGATGTAGCGGAGATTCTGGTTCGCCGTTGAACCAACGGAAATAGGTGAAACATTGGAAACAGGTGTTTCGTCGTTGGTAGCGATGGAATTTAATTGGAACGTGTTCCGAGCTGGTCGAGATTGTAGCGTTGTAAACTAACGATCCGTTGTTGACCGAATTCGTGCGTCGATCTTTGTTCTCGCGGTTGGATCGCCTAAAACAGAGGTGGCCAAACTTTCGATCGCTACGAGCGACTTGTTTTTTTTTCAATTATAGGCGACGGTCTAGCAACGTCGCGTGCGTCGAGCGATCGTAATAAAAGTGGTAATTCGAAGCCAAAAATAAGTTTAATTTTAAGATAAACATAGATAATATCGGACGGACGGGCGACTAGGAATAGTTTCGCGGTCGACGCTTTGGCCACCCCTGATCCAAGCGATTGCGTAAATGTTGAAGCCATTTGCCGCATCGGTTTCCTATTTGCAAATATGCACACTTTCCACGGAAACTATTCGCGCACGATTCGCTTATTTCGGTCTAGACGAGCTACCATTAACCGCGGGACCGCTCGTACGCGCGAATCACGGCTATCCTAATTTTGGGATATTAACTCTCTATGGGCCCATGTAACTTTCAAGTCGCAAGCTAATATATCCACATTTTACCAAATAGTTTTAGTTTTTTTTTCATAAGATGATGTATACGTCTTAATTATATAATGCCTCTGAAATAAACAATAACAATATTGGTGACCGTTGGCAGGCACCATCAACCTGAAATGTCGAAATAAATATCTTGTAAGTTGTCTGCAGACAGAAACCAAAGGGACCATTTTGTGCAAATGAGATTATTTGTGCTTTTGTCGGTGTTTACTAAATAATAAAAAAAGCGTATATAATATCTCTGGGTTCGTATATCGATAACAATTTATTTATTCGCATTTCAATAATCATTTTGTTACTATTTGTACATGATAGAGTTTTGTAACTCTCAGGTTACATTGGGATATTGTGGTAGATTCGAGTGTGTCTACGATAATAGTTGTGCTTTCTTCTATTTTCAAATTTATATGTCGAATACCCCCAAAATATGGATACAAAATCGTATAAAAATAAAAGAGGAATTAGAATTAGACGCGATAGCGATTACAGATCCGAAGATTCTTTATTAGATTATGAGTCCGATGAGGATCATCCGGTAGCATTTACCAGACGACGCGTAAATATTATCAACAGCGACGATGAATTTAGTACCGAATGATCATCGGACGAGGAAAATTCAGGACCACAAAGAACTATTTGGCAACCAATTCCAAATGCAACGTACATCGATGTTTAACGCCAAATTGAAACTGTTTTATGGAATTTCACGCTTAAGCATTTATGCACAGAAGTGGAAACATTGCGAGCCGTTGTTACTTCAAAGTTACAAATTGAATCAATTGCAATAAAGTTGTTCAAACCGTTAAATATTTTTTTAACTAGCATATATAGGTTTACAGTGACAGATTTTCCGTTGCACAAATTTTTTCATATTTCAGAAAAAAATCGGCCCATAGAGGGTTAATCGTGCGGGAGGTGCGAGCCGCGATCAGCGTTCGCGCGATCGACGCCGACCAAACCGTTTACAGAAATCGCAGGCTCCCGTGTAATTCTTGTCCGCGACGATTGCCTCCGAGAAACGTGCAATTGCACGAATATCCGTGCTACGGTAACGACGCGTTCAATATTCAAGCGACGCAACGAACGTCCAGTGGTCCGCGTTCCTAGCTGCTCGATCTACGTTTAAGAGGAGAGATGCATGGTCGAGCTGCAATCCGCATAATTCGACGCGTGCATATAACTCCGCGCACGGTCAACTAGAATATTTATTTACTCGCGCACAATAGTTCGCGATTATACCACTGTATATCGTCTTCCCTGTTACGCGCCATTCCGGTTGACCCTGTCCATCATTGTTGCGGAAAATGTGCACTGGGATGTCGCGGCGCATGGTAATGCCCGCGAAATTGCATAGTCATGAGATAATACGCGTATGCATATAAGAGAGCGTTCTCTTGTTTCGCGCACAATGTTACATAAACGTGTACGGTGCCCGCCGTGTTCGAAACATCGAGGAGACAACGACGATGAATTAAAACGAACTAAAAACAACTAAATATAGAATATACAGACATACTCGACCAGTTTCGTTTCGCTCGGACGTTCTCGCCGCGTAGAATCTCGCGGTCCAACGGAACAAAATTGTCTCCGTCCGCTATTATTATTCTCGGCCGAAATTATTGTCCGAGGTGAGATCGCGTTGCGGCGATTAAAACGCTGCTAAGAGACGGTCGACGTGAAATATCGTTCCTCAAGGGTAGTTCGGAATCGAAATATCGCGGAGCGACGTAAGAAACCAACAAATTATTTTGCAACGTCTTCTTGGAAATAACACTGATGTCAACGGGGACGTTGAGATTGTTGCTCAAGTGGAACATCCTTGAGGCGAAACGCTTTACGCTCGCGTCGCGGGAACGAGATCGATTCTGTCGGACAAAAGTCCGCTCGTCGGGCGCGCGCGTGCTCTTTCTTCGGGAACTGCCCCGGCTGGACGCTTCCGTCGATCGGACATGAATCGGACGCCGTTTCGATAACCGATTCAGAATTTCGCGAATCGTTGTGCAACGACCTAACATTAGGATGCCGCTCCGATGTACTTGCCAAAAATTATAAATAACGGATTTTGCTCGCGGCTGAATTATGGAGTAGGTCACTCGGCGCGCGTAACATCATCGACAACTATGACCTATCGCGCGGGCTTCTCGTTAGAGACGACTGATATTCGAAACGACCCTCGAAATATCTCGGCTCGCGGCTCCGAACTTTTTCCCCGAACGCCGACCGAAACGTCCGAATTTAACGGGCAAAATGTTTTCAGAGAAATACGAGACACGCGAGAGAGTCGCGGAATTTCGCGTTTTGCAACGCTTGTTCGCATTGTTTTCCTGGCAGAGCCGGCTGCCGCTCGAATGTCAGCGATTCACCTTCGCAGTCAATTGGACTGAATCACCGAATTGGACGTTTCCCGGCTGCTGCGACCGCGAGCGATCGAAACGTTTGATCTTTCCGCGCGAACGGGAGAATCGAAAATGGTGGCGCATTATTTTTTCTCCTCGTGCAGTTTCTTCTTTGTTTCTTTGGTCCTTGCATTTTGCGCGAAGATCCGTAATCTCGCACTTGCTAACACGTTTCCTAACTCGTACAGAATCGGAGTTTTAAAGAATCGAATCCCTCGATCTCGTTTCTCGGTTGTCTCGATGTACACGCAATCGCGTGCAGAGCTCGGAAACGATATTAATCTTCGCATACATTTGCGACGAACAATCGTTCAGTTTTTACCTCGCCTCTCGTATCCAGGAATAAGGCGAGTCGCGAGAACATTTACGGGCATGGAAACGGAGACCGTGCGAACAAAGCGAATACCTAAGTAATATGAGCCGTTTATTTTGAAAGTGGCATAAGTCACTTTGTTTTTAAGCCGATATATTTAAGGGTTCGGGTTTTAACACGTTATTGTATTAATATACGATATTGTTCTCAGTATAAATAATTTCGTAGAAACATTAAAACATCACCACTGTTCATTACGGTAAAGTGACTATGTTCGCGAATAAACTCCAGCGAAGTAGAGACCAGCGACGTACGATTTGCGCCGTTCGATCGGGGAGCGGCCGTCTTGTTTCAGTTTCGATGGCAAAACAATCTCGCTGGCTCTCTGCCATTGTTGCCTCAAACAATACGAAGAGCCGGGGCAGTCTCGCATCCGGTGTTATCGGACATTCGTGGATTCAACGATCCCATCGTTAAAATTAACCCGTGTTTCACGAGCAACGCCGGCGACGACCGTCGANTCTTTGTTTCTTTGGTCCTTGCATTTTGCGCGAAGATCCGTAATCTCGCACTTGCTAACACGTTTCCTAACTCGTACAGAATCGGAGTTTTAAAGAATCGAATCCCTCGATCTCGTTTCTCGGTTGTCTCGATGTACACGCAATCGCGTGCAGAGCTCGGAAACGATATTAATCTTCGCATACATTTGCGACGAACAATCGTTCAGTTTTTACCTCGCCTCTCGTATCCAGGAATAAGGCGAGTCGCGAGAACATTTACGGGCATGGAAACGGAGACCGTGCGAACAAAGCGAATACCTAAGTAATATGAGCCGTTTATTTTGAAAGTGGCATAAGTCACTTTGTTTTTAAGCCGATATATTTAAGGGTTCGGGTTTTAACACGTTATTGTATTAATATACGATATTGTTCTCAGTATAAATAATTTCGTAGAAACATTAAAACATCACCACTGTTCATTACGGTAAAGTGACTATGTTCGCGAATAAACTCCAGCGAAGTAGAGACCAGCGACGTACGATTTGCGCCGTTCGATCGGGGAGCGGCCGTCTTGTTTCAGTTTCGATGGCAAAACAATCTCGCTGGCTCTCTGCCATTGTTGCCTCAAACAATACGAAGAGCCGGGGCAGTCTCGCATCCGGTGTTATCGGACATTCGTGGATTCAACGATCCCATCGTTAAAATTAACCCGTGTTTCACGAGCAACGCCGGCGACGACCGTCGATCCGGAGGATCGACGCGCATGGCCGTGCATCGGAAATAGAGAGTTACGCGTGTCGTGAAGTGCTCGCGATTAATTACGCTAATAAGCACGGTGTTCTCGAGCCGCAGGCGTCCCGGCTACCGATTTACCGATCTCTCGACGTTATCTAGAACCCATTAAACGGATTGCTCGTTCATGTGGGTCAAGTGTGATGCGGGCCGAAGTGGCCGGAAGACGCGGCGCTCCCTCTTAATGCTCGAAAGGCTGTTCCTAATTATTAGTTGCCAATGAAACGTTGCTGTTAGAGAATTTGCTCGTACTTTGTACTCGCAATTGGTCGTACAAGGTACGGACAAAGATGTAATTACAGGTGCGGTAAATTGTTATCAATTGTCCCACCGTCTGTAAACAAAAATGGACATCTTGGGAAAGGGGGATGCGATTATTAGAGCCTTGCTGCTCGTTTTTATATTTGCCAAGCTGAGGGACAATTGGGGACAATTTACTATATTGGAACAAGTCAATTTATCGAGCAATTTAAACGATTCGAATTTCATACGCGAACAACCCTTAGGAGCAGTTTGTTAGAAGAGTCAGATCGCGAGGACGTTGAACCATTTTTGTATCGTAAAACGTAAAGAAATATATCGCTGAATCGTTCTGTCACGATCCGAGCCGGTCTCAGAAACTGTTTCTCTTTTGCAGTGGGCGAAAGAAGCCGAGGAAGCCGAACGTCTCGAGAAAATGCTGAAGATCGAAAACGAGGAGAACGCAGCTGCAAACAATTTAGCGCTGGCGATTCAGAGTCGCAACGAAGCCCGAGCGAGTCAGTCCGACAAATTCTTTGACGCGCTGATCGACAAATACGCGAAAAAGGCGGAGAAATCGACGCGAAAGAAGTCCACGCCTTCGAAGCCCGCCAAAACTACGAGAACCACGAAGAAAACCAAAAAGAAGACGTAGAATAGCGAAATTTGTATACGAACAACACTCCTCCCTTCGCATACAAACGTTCTCGCGATCTTTCTTTTCAACGTAAAGCGCCAATCGCCGCGAGAACGTTTGTAAAAATCATCGGTCGAGTCGATGGTCGAACGTTTCGTTGTACTCCCACGTGTACCGTCGCGTTTAAACACAAAGGTACCGCCGTAAGGCACCGCCATGTTCGAAGACGACGAAACGTCGAACGTACATCGTACCTACGAATCTTTTTTTTTTTTGGTAATTTAATACTAATGGAACTGACTGTCGTCACTTCGTCCCGATTTAATAAGATATTTCGTAAAGAGGAAAGATGATTTGTATTTGTTAATAATAATATTGATATTAATCGACTCGAACGCGCTCTGTTTCAGACCAACAGCCGACACACCGCCCATCCTTCCTTACCGTTCGATGGTAACGATCCAATCTTCTTCTCCACCCACTCGAGCGAAAATAGGGATCGCGGGTCTCTGCTGTATCCGGCTGCAATAAAGCAGGACCGGCGCTTCTCGTTTCTCTGTGCGAGACTAGCTACCAAAGAATCTCTGCGCGTCGACCCCTAGCAATTTAAATTCGAGCAATGTACGACGTCGAATAATTATTAATGTATTAACGCGCGTACAATTTTTTTCATTAATTATTCGGTCGGTCGCTTGTCTTAAAATGCAAGAGGACTCCGTTAGTCCGCGTATTCCCCGACGCTCGCGGCTCGAATTGTCGAAGCAAAAACTGTGCCGAAGGGATCCAAGATGGTGTTGGAGGTTCCTTTATCGGTGCTAGCAAACGTGCCGCATATCGGGCACCATAAATAGCCAACTCGTACGGTCGGTCTCGTGTTACGTCCGCGTTGAACAACGATGCATCGCACGTCGGGTGACACCCTTCAAGGCACATCGCATTTTTTCACATTGCAACTTGATTTATGCTTCAGAAGAAGAAATGTCTGCATTCGTTATCGAACGAAATATCCTTTCTCGACAAAACGTCGTAATTGTTTTCTAATTCTATTTCCTTATCGAGATTTAATTATTTAAGCGAACATAGGCCACGCGATAAGCTTAAGAAATTCCTTACTTTGTAAGAAATCGTCGGGAAATTTTGATGATCGTAATTTCGCAAAGATTCGTAGGGCATCGTCGCAACGCGGCAGCGGGGCGGGAATTTCGAACGCGTCACTCGTTGTGCACGTGATCGCGCGCACACAAGAGCGTGATCACGGCCGCGCGTCCATCTTATTGCGTCCGCGGGCCGCAAACATGGGTAGCAAAATGTAAACCACCGTCATTATTAACGAGACGGGCAACGGGAAACCGAGCTCGGTGCTCGAGAAATAGTCGCGGCGCACAATGGGCCGGTCTCGGGCGATATTTTTCAACGGCCGGCCAGCGGCAATTAGATCCAGCCCCGGTGTTGTAGCTACAACGGCGATCGATCGGCCGGACGGTCGATCGTTTCTCGCCGGCATCGGCACCGTCTCAATGAAATTACAAAGCGAAACAAGAACGGCCGCGCAAAACATCCCGATCGAACGCGGCCGCTCCGGCTGACCAGAAAATATAACATTGTCCATGGTGCCGATTTGCGGCGGAGTTCATTAAACACGGGTTTGCTCTTGAATGCCGAGCGAAATCGGCCGTAGCGCATGAAATCGTTTAAAAAGTGACGATCGGCCGAAAAAATCCGACAAAGTGGAGAAGGATGACATAGATACTCGTTTTTGCCGGGGAATACTTAAACTCTGCTCCAGAAAATTGCTGCAGCGGAGATTGAATATTTTGTGCTGGTCACTTAGGGCGCGGTAAAAAGCCCTGCGAGTTTCTTTCTACATGGAATTGTGGGAGAGCTTCGATGAATCGGTATCGGCTGAAAAAGACGGAGACTTTCCAGTCATTTCTTGCCTCGACTCTCGACGTCGCGTTTCGATCGATGGAAACGATAATTAAACGTTACCTTACCGATGATGGTCGAACGTCGGCTTCCCATCGATCGGCGAAACGACGCGAAAGCGAAGGACAACGGAATTATTGTTATTATTAGGATAGGATTAGGATATATCGCTGTCATCGCGAACTGAAGAGACAGCGATCGACCGGTTGCAGATTTTACAAAGGCAGAACTAGTTCTTACCGATTCACTCCGCGCACGCCGAACGTTTAACGCGCGGTAGCGAAACGGGCGCTGATAGCGAACAAATTATGTCACATCCGGTCGAAAGTTTTTTGTCACGCGAAATGGTGTAATCGGAGGGCTATAAAGAATTCACGGTCGTAAACCATTGTGCGTGTCTCACTCAACGTTTAACTCTCCTGTGATTCGCGCGTAGTTTCTCGTTTATGGATCAATAAATCTGGCAAGGAGCAGAGGATATGCAGGATAAACGATATATCCGAGAGCGATTAAAGTAGACTCGGCTCGGACGTCCGAGCCGAGTCTTCCTTGGTCGCGCGTTTCGCAAAATTTTCCACATCATCGAACGGAGCTTTCGGTAAAAATACGTCTATCGTATCGGATAAATTCGATCTACGTTCGGAATTCGATCAACTTCGACGTAACACGGCGAGCGATTCTTCGCGATCGCGACTTTTTTCTGCCAGGAAACCGCGAAGCCGATTCTCGCAGAAACTCGAGGAACGTCCGCGAATCTTTTCGCTGAAAAATACACGTCGACGCGAACCGCGCGTAAACATTTATGTAGGAGGTCCTCGGAAGAGGTGCGCGAACCGCCAGATTTACGATGCTCCGCTGCTTCGGGAGCATCGCGCAGTTCGAAGTTGCGATCGAAACTTTGGCCGCAGGATCTCTCTCCGCGTCGCCTGCGATCGCTCGAAGCGGACGAAAAATCGATTTTTCGAGGTTCGCGAGAGCAGGGTTCCCCTCGAGAGAGCCGGCGCGTCTCTCGCAGCTCGTGCTTTTCCCATATGCACTCCTAATCGCGAATCGCATCGGCAGATATAGCGTGTACCACGCTGCACCCCGTTAAATCCTCGGGAGGGAACGAACACCGAGGGAGAGAGGATCCGCTCGCGGGATAGACAAGGACACGCGGAGGGCGAGGGAGGGAGGCGGAGGGTGGACGGCGGACGAGTTGCCGGGGTTGCGGCGTCGCGATAGAACGAGAGAGGACATCGAGCTCGTGGAGCGAAACACGGCGGAGCAACGTGAGAGGAGGTGGCAGGTCGTATCGGTAGAAGGTGGAGGAGGAGGAGGAGATGGCGAAGGAGCGGAACAGAAGGAGAAGGGGAGAGCGACATTCCAGAAGGCGGCGGCGGCGGTGGTTCTCGTGGGAAACCAAAGAGAGAGAGAGACCGGGAGAGCGAGAGCCCGTCTCAAGGAGAGGTTGCGGGCCTTAAGGCACCGTTCTCATCTCCCAACGCGCGACAAGACCGCAGACTTCTGGCTCAGGTGCTGCCGACAGTCCTCGAATTTATGAATTCGTGAGAGGATAGGATCCTCCGGTAACTCATAAACGCCCGGCAAACCGACCAGCGAGCCCCGCAACCGAAAGCTCTCGCGACCCGAGACGCGAGACTCGGCCGAGCCTCCTTCCACCGGACTTCGAGACCGTTGCGCGACCATTGTATCGATTTACGCCGTGGAAACGCCGTGTAGAGGAAATTGGATACACCTTTATCCGGTGTTTTGAGCCGGTCGAACACCTACCAGTTTAGACGGTATTAATAGCTACGAACGATAACGCCGTTGCACTTTCGCAGACGCGTATACCCCTTGCCTCCCGTTTCCCCGGACGGTGTCGGCTACCGCGTTGTTCCCCGCCGATAAAGCTACGACAATGCAGCGGGCCCGAGCGGAGCCCGAACGCGGCCCGAGCGTAACCCGAGACCCTGCTACAGCATCGATAGCCGAGATTACCGTGAAGCTGATTTTGTAGACCAGTTCGCTCGCGCTGTCGCGCCGCAACATCCGAAAAGGGTCGGACGACACCCACGCGAGACGCGTCTGTCCGTGGTACGTACCCGGCCACGGCTAGGCTACCCCTTTCTCGGGCTGCGACGCTTTGTCCAACGCGTTCGGATCGCGTCGGGATCTACCGAAGGATTCGGCCGAGACCGCCGGCGGACCCCGCGCATCCGTAGATCGTAGATCGCCGGATATTCGCGAACTTTAGGATCGGGGGGAACGGAAGCGAGGAACGCGGGAGGAGACTTCTTTCGACTTTCGGTAGGATCGGAACTAGAGGATTTGGGACGCGTTCGGTTTTCCGAGAGTCGCGGCCTTCGATCGGCAAAAAGGAGACCTTGCAAACGGGGAAAACGGGCTCGCAATTTTGATCGCGGCATTGTTTGGATGCCTGTTCGGAAGAACGAGAAATTTCATGCGGACCGCTTTTTCGAACGGGTCCGGTAAAGAGAATATGTTGCATACGATGAAAACAGGTTCGTCATTTTGAAGAAAAAAAAAGAAGCGAAGGAGACATTCGCTACCAGACGTTCCATGGGAGCTACACGGCTTATCTCGCGTTCCGGTACCAGCGACAATGACTCGTCGTCATCGTTGTCAGCTGTTATACGACGGCAATAAAGTGTCTCATTACGATTATTACCATCGTAAGTCAAAGCGGAGGACCGAACGCGCGCGGCAATGGACACGATAATCGCTCAGCCTGCATCGGTATCGGCAACGACATGCGCGCACTTCATTACGCGGAAGGATAACGTCCAATTAAACGACACTGAGAAATCCAACACCGATTCGCCGCGCAAGTATGTCCATTTCTCCGACCGTCGACTACACGCCGCTACCGACACGAACCGTAAAAACACCGCAGCTGTTGGAACTCGAACAAACGCCGACC